TCTCTCTCTCTCTCTCTCTCTCTCACTCACTCCCTGACTCTCTCCTTTTCTACCTCCCTCCACCTCTCTTTCTCTTTATCTATCTATCTATCTATCTATCTATCTACCTACCTATCTTTCAGTGTGACTCTTACCCTGAGGCAGTAACTCTCTCCATTGTGGTACAGCTCAAATAAACCATTCACAGCCAGCAAGTAAACCGACAATGTCTGTCCTGGATCATCATCCTCGGTTACGAAACATCCGATCTCTGTCCCTTTAGGACTGTTCTCCGGTACTTCGTCAGGAACAAGCTAAGGAGAGAACACAAATATTACATTCAAGAATTTATATATAATATGACACCTTCAAAACTAGGAACAATCGCAGCCTTTTAACATAAAGCAAAACAAAATTTGTTCTCAAAAGCAAGGTTCTCGTCTATATCTGCATCTCTACTTGAAACCAAAGAATTTCCGCGGTCAATTTTTTAAAACACAAACAATGAAGCTACACGTACGTAAAAGTGACAAAACAGAGAATTGTAACCAATGTTTAAATTAATACAATAGTAACTGTATTCCAAAATCTCGTAAATCCAGACTGCTTCCTTTACCTTATCAGAGCTAATGGCAAATAAATCAAGAAAGTTACATCCCTTTATTGAGACTAATCGACCTAATTATGTCCCTTCAGGCAGATAGAAAAAGACTTTTTTTAAAAGGGCAAGAGAATACCTTGGCTGATCTTGGTGGGTCATTGTCGTTGAGAAGCGAAAACGAAAATGTGTCCTCCACACTGAGCCCGTCTAGATCAGTGGAGCGTATCGTGGTTGACCATCTGGAGACAAGTACGAAATCTTTTTCAGAGGAAAATAGGAAGATAAAAAATGACAGTTTCACAGTGAGATAAGAGTATCGGTTGACTCAGAAGTACCAATACCATTAAATTATCAAAAACTTAAGAAAATGTTGAGGCTTCTATTAATAAAAATTAAAAGTTGCTTACCATAACTGTATTAGGCTCAATTTTATTTCTACTTATAAAATCAAAACAATTATAATTTCAGACCAAAAATAAAGAAAACTGGAATGAAAAGTCTAGGAATACTTATTGGCAGAAAGCAGTTAAAGGATTGTGATGGAAATGAATAGATAGCTATCAACAGTTTTCACGTAACTAATTTTCGAAATCATGGAAATTATGTTGAGAGGGAAAACCTAACCTACTGGAAGTAAAGAGACCTGACTGACAACTTCTACTGGGATCATAAACGAGTATAGCTTCCTGATACATGTATAACAAAGTCTTCACCTTTACATCGATTGAGCAATAAATATATCAGCTTACTCTTTATACTTTGATGATTCAAAATCAAATGGAGCTCCCACACAGACGTATTGCTTTTTGATGGTGAGACCACCGGAGGGGTCGTTGGTGATGGTGTAGGTGTGTCGATCCCAGGCTTCGTCGTCCACTTCCGTCGAGAGCTCAGCAAAGCACTGGCCATATCTTAGCAACTCGGAGATCTCCGTATTGTTGATTTTGATCTGAGCAGGAGTTGATGAAAAATAACGCGCAATTTACAAACACATATACCAAACTATGAGGGTACATTTCACTATGACAAAAAGCTTAACAAGCACAAATATGTCTCCTTTGCTAAAAAAAAAATACCAAAACTTTGAGGGTTCTTTTTGCTGTGATAAGATGCCATTACAAACACAGACACGTTTGCTTTGCTCAAAAATACCCATACGTTTTGAGTGCTCTTTTGTCTATGATAGGATGCTATTTATAAGTTATAAACACATACACGTATTGCTTTGCTCAAAAATACCAAAACTCTCAGCGTAGATCTACTAATTTTTCACCATGAGCGGTAATTCTTAACCATTTGTTAAAGCTTTGTTTAATCCTAGAGTGTTTGGAAATCCAATTTAGTATTTAGCTTTTCCTTTAGTTATTATTTATTTCGGTCTCCACACCGTGACTTGGGGGAAAAGAGGGGGGGGGGAGCTGTATTTCTACACCAAACTCTCAGCAAACAAAACAAACACAACATTTCAAGAAAGCTGGACAAAAGACCGGCCAAAAAGGAAGAAAATGTATTTCTTCTCCAAATCCCCCCCCCCCCCCCCCCCCCCCCCCCAGAAAAGGGGGGGGGGGAGGGTGTTATATCCGCTGTTTGAAGGACAGTCGTAGCGTACATATGTGTAGATCTCTTGGACTTGGGGTATTTCCCTGTGAGGACAGCAGAATGAGATTACTTAGAACATAAACAGTCATGAAGACATTCAGATATACTGACACCCAACGGAGCTTTGTTTTCAGGTCCGCAGAATATTTTTGGCGTTGTCCAGGTTCCGTCTTCTTGACATTCCGTGTAGGTTGGCTCTCCTTTGACCAGCCAGTTGTTTCGACATGTCGCATCACATCGGTCACCAAACAGAGTGCCCTGGGGGAGTAAGACAATAATAAATAGGCTATGTATTATGTCTCCTTTGACAAAAGGGAAAAAAATAATGCGAAATTGCATAAGTTTAACACACCTTACAACACTATATGGCTATTTAAGAGGCGGGATTTCTGGGTGTAGTTTCAATCTCCAAAAGGAACAAGCCAAAAGGGCGGAGAGCCTTAAAACTCTCCAAAATAACCCAAGTTCATCTCCAACCCTTAGTAAGCTTTAGCCCAAACCACACACTCGGGAATGAAACGCATGTTATGTATATCCTGCGTGCGACGGCACTGCGCCTAACCGCATCACCATAGTCGCCGGTATCGGGTCCTGTGCTCCCATTAGGAAGAGGGATATATGGTTAAAAGGATAAAGGACATTGTAATTGTCGAACCTACTCTGATGGCTACCTGTCCAAAACAATCAC